ACCGAGGATATGTCCAGGAGTGCCGAAATGGGCCTCAGTAAACGAAGCCTTTTATAGAATGACCCCATTGAGAGATTCAGAATGGGTTACCTATGAGGATCTTTTAACTAAAAAAGAAAAAGAATTTAAAACATTGGACCAATTATGAAAAGAAGGTATGAAATGCATGTGGTATACTTATTTCCAATTAAGGGGGAAAAAACCATGTTAGACTTAAGAACAAATAATATTAAAGAAGTTGAAACAGAATTTGAAAAAATATTTAAAGCAGATAAGAAACAAAGGATAAAAAAAACTATACCTTTTCTCCACAACTATTAAAGGTACAACCGTCCCACTATTCACCTGACAACTCTAAACTTGCATGAAGTGTCCTAAAATATATTTTAAAATCTCAAAATATCACAAAAATGTCCCATCCTCAAACATGATTCATTGGACCCATAAAGTATGACGAGGAGAGAAGGTCACACGATGGACAGTCTCAGTAATTTCTCCATCATTACCATTCCCCAGATCTATCTAATTAGACCCACTTAATAAATGGAAAACCGTTCAATTGGTACCAGTTGGATGTGAACTAAATATTCCCTTATACTGTCACTAGACAACAGGGATGTAGAAAGTTGTCTTATACTGAATCAGACCTATTAAACCATCTGGCTTATTGGCAGCAGGGCTCCCTGGCTTCAGATAGGAGTATTTCCATTCTTATCTGGAAACACTGAAGACTGAACCTTGGACATTTTGCATTCAGCAGCAGAGTTCTTTCCACACTGCAAATGCAAGTCCTTTATAAAAGAGTTCATAATTAATTAATGGAATGTGCTGCCAGAAAATGCAGTGAGTATGCTGATGTTAATTTCCATCAAAAGTGATTTGACAAAGGTATATAAAATTGGATCATAAATTAAGCCCTGTTCACACATGTAAAACACTCACCTGTTGAAAGAGGAATAAGAATCATACAACTGGCTTCTACCTCTGCATTGGATAGCCAATTTATCCTCATCATCTGATGTTATTATGTTCACATGGGCATCTGAACAGTTCACAAACACTACTGCTGTGGGTGGGATGGGCAGTGGTCCTACTCTTTTTTTTAATGCATGTGCCCTACTTATGTGTAATGCATGAACAGGGGTTTAGACTCATTCATTACCAAGAAAACGTGGAAATGATGTTCCACCAGCATTTTGTTTTCTTACAGAATATTTGTACATAGCATAGTTATATTTATATGTGCATGTAGCAACATAAGGTATACCAAATTGGGAGGCAATATACTACACTACAGCGTACTAGCTGAGGGCCCATCATGACCAGACTGCCCTTTCCACTGAGATCTTCATTGTTAGCTCCATTGATTTTTCCTTTATGTATAAAGAAAAAAGAGAAAAAAAGGAAAGAAATAAAAACCACCACCTGTCCTAGACGATAATGACAGGTGGCACTCTGCATTGCAGTTATAGATTTGTAACCAAGAGTTGTGGATTCATAACTGGCCCATGTTCAGGTAGGCAATGTATTCACAATCATGGCATTATTAACCACAGCCATAAATATCTGCCTTAAACTCCAGGAAGCTGCTCTAAGCAATGGAGGTCTGCATCATGGTTAAGTGGGACACTTCAGGATGACATGGCTGCCCCTGCAAGCTACAGTGTGCCATCATCACACCCC